GCTGCGCTAGACTCTTTACACTCAATGTATTATACCTATAAAGCTGTCTGGGAGATTTACTGCAGCCTTTCTGGTTTTTGTTTGTTTGTTTTCGAGACAGGGTTTCTCTGTGTAGTTTTGGTGCCTGTCCTGGATCTCACTCTGTAGACCAGGCTGTCCTCGAACTCACAGAGATCCGCCTAGCTCTGCCTCCTGATTGCTGGGATTAAAGGCGTGCGCCACCACTGCCCAGTTTGTTTTTATTTTATGTATATGGGTATTTTGCCTGCATATATGTCTGTGCACCACATACATGCCTGGTGCTGGGGAGTCTTAGAAGAGGGAGTTGGAGCCCCTCGAATAGTAGTTACAAAATGATTGTGAGCTGCAGTGTAGGTGCTGGTAATCAAGCCAAGTCTTCTGCACGAGCAACAATTGCTCTTTATGGTTGAGCCATTGCTAGACCCCCCTTAAATTTTTTTATTTTATTTATTTATTTGAGAAGGGTATGGCCTGCCACCAGATGCGTGCAGGAGTCAGAGCACAACTTGCAGGAGTCAGTTCTCTCCCACCATTATATGGTTCTAGGAACTGAACTCAGGTTGTCAAGGTTGGAGCCAAATGCATTTACCTGTTGAGCCATCTTGCAGGCCTTGTGTACTCTTAATGACTCAAGAAGCTGAGACAAAGGGAACCTGGCCATGATCAGACAGCTTTTAAGGGTGGTCATCTTGAGTGCTCGTACTTCAAGCCACCATTATACAGTATATAGTGTGTACATCAATCACAGAGAAGCTGTTCTGCTCACCTCCTCTTCAGAGTGCTTCCTCTTGACGGATCTGGAGAACTGGTCATTTCTGCCGAAATTAGCATCGTCTCCTTCATAACACCTTGTGCACTTTGCATCTGTCACCTGCTAATGGAACTTCCTGCTCACAGCATCTACATACAGCTTCTCATTGCCTTCATTTGAACATACCAAAGATGTTTTAAGGTTTATTTCTATTTGTGTGTATATGTTTGTGTCTGTGTATGCCACGTGTGTGTGTGTGTGTGTACAAATGAAGGCCAGAGAGTATTAGCTCCCCTGGAGCTTGAGTCACAGGTGGCTGTACGCTGCTTGATACGGGTTTTTCCTTTGATCAGGTGGTCTCATGTAGTTCCTGCTCACTGTGGAGCAGAACATCTGATTCTTCTGCCTCTACCTCCCAGGTGGTCAGATTACAAGTAATGTGTCACCACGTCGGACCATTTTAAGTTTGGTGGGGTTTTTTGTTTGTTTTTTGTTTTTTTGTGTTTTTTTTTTTTGTCAGCTTTTAATGTCTTTAGATTTTATTCTAGTGAAACCTGTCAGAGACTTAACATATTAATGTCTTTAGAGTCTGGTCTAGAGAAGTCTGTCAGAGACTTAAGAAATTAACTTCTCATCGGGTGGTGGTGGTGGTGGTGGTGGTGGTGGTGGTGGTGGTGGTGGTGGTGCACACCTTTAATCCCAGCACTCGGGAGGCAGAGCCAGGCGGATCTCTGTGAGTTTGAGGCCAGCCTGGTCTACAAAGCGAGTTCCAGGAAAGGCGCAAAGCTACACAGAGGAACCCTGTCCAAAAAACAAAACAAAAACAAAACAAAACAAAAATCTTCTCTTTGGCCAGATACCATGACAGCTAACGTTAGTCTTCATTTCAAAAGGTTAACTATATTGCTGTCCTCCAGTTTGCTGGTCTACACTGACACCATTGCCACTCAAAGAACATTTTGCTTTGTAAGGGCCTTGTTAAGTGTAAAGTGCTGACACACCAGAAGCTGTGCTGGGCTGGGGACATTACAGTGGAGTGGAGAATTATAGGGGTGAGAATACACCTCATAGGTTTCTTATGAATGACAGTAGGTAGACCACACACACAGACTGAGAAATTGAAAGTTGAACTTTAGCTAAGATTTTGTCCAGTCACTGATAGCTAGAAATGACTTCAACACGACCTCACGCTTGAAAGGGGTTTCAAAACTCAAAAGCTCACACAAGTTGCCTGATAAAAGTACCTTTGTATACGTGTGTGTTGCTATGGAAGCCTTGCATAAGCTAGGCAAGCACCCTACCACTGAACCAACCACACTCTCAGAAGTGTTTTCTTTTGGAGAGGTTGAAGAGAGAACTCCACATTTAAGAGCATTTGCTGATCTTACATTCAACCCAGGTTTGGTTCCTAGCACCCACAGGGCAGATCATAATTGTTTGTAGTTCCAGTTCCAGGAAATCTGACATCCTCTTCTGGCCGCTGATGGTTCCAGGCATGCATGTGGTGCACAGCTAAGCCAGGCGTCGGTGGGGCGCATACCTTTGATCCCAGCACTTGGGAGGCAGAGCCAGGTGGATCTCTGTGAGTTCAAGGCCAGCCCGGTCTACACAGCGAGATCCAGGACAGGCACCAAAACTACACAGAGAAACCCTGTCTCAAAAAAACAAAACAAAACAAAACAACACACACACACACAAAAAAAAAAAACCACACAAACACACAAAACAACAACAACAACAACAACAAAGAAACAAATATAAGCTGGCATCAAACTCGGAGATCCACTTGCCTCTGCCTCGTGGGTGCTAGAATTAAAGGTGTGTGGCCACAACACCTAGCTCAGAACATTTTAAAACAATTTTTAAAAATATGGTTTACTATGTTTCATTCAAAACAATTTTGCAATTCTTTGATTTCTTCTTAGAAATCAAATCCTGTCCTCCAAAATAGGGAGTCATTATTTGCTTGCTTGAAGTCAAGTTTAGAATTGGGATTTTTTTTTTTCCTATCAGTTTGGTCTTTGGGATCACAAAGCAGAAAAGGGTTTTTGTTTTGTTTTTGTTTTTTGTTTTTCGAGACAGGGTTTCTCTGTGTAGTTTTGGTGAGACAGGGTTTCTCTGTGTAGTTTTGGTGTCTGTCCTGGATCTCAGTCTGTAGACCAGGCTGGCCTCGAACTCACAGAGATCCTCCTGGCTCTGCCTCCCGAGTGCTGGGATCAAAGGTATGTGTCACCTCCGCCCAGCTGAAAGGGGGTATTAATAGTCTTTTTGTATTTTATTATTTTACTTTTTGAGACAAGGTCTCTCTACATAGCGCTGACTATTCTGGCTTGGGGCTAGAGAGATGGCTCAGCTGTTAAGAGCACTGGCTGCTCTTCCAGAGGTCCCAAGTTCCATTCCCAGCAACCACATGGTGGCTCACAACCATCTGTAGTGAGATCTGGTGGCCTCTTCTCGAATAAAGGTGTACATGCAGATAGAGCACTCATATACATAAAATAAATAAATCTTTTTTTAAATCCAGCTTGATGTTACATTGCAGTTGCATCTTGAAACATGGAGACTCATCCAGAGAAAAAGTCTCTTAAGTAGGCTTATTTAAATTTAACTGTCTAGCAGAGCACGGTAATACATGCCTTGAATCCCAGATCTCAAGGAGCAGAGGCAGGTGGGTTTCTTGTGAGTTCAATACCAGCCTGGTCTACATAGCAAATTGCAGGCCAGTTAAGGTTACATAGTGAAACCTTGTTCTCAAAATAAATAAATAAATAAAAAATAACAGTATGGGGGGCCAGTAGCAATGATTCAAGAAAATAATTACTTTCATCACAGAGTCCTTCACTTATTGAACTCTATGTTGTGTGAGTGCTCAGGTGTGGATGTTGATGTGTATGCATGTCTGGGAAGACAACACGTCAACATCACGTACATGAGTTCAGTGAATCTGTATGCATTGACCAGCAAGCACCTAAGATCCACCTGTCCTAGGTTTTCCAACACAGATTACAGCTGCACCTGGCTTTTTAACATGGGTGCTGGGCATCTGAATTCAGGGCCCCGGGCTTGCACAGCTCACCTGCTGAACCATTTCCTTGGCCCTGAACAGTGCCTTTCTTAGTGAACAGTAATTCTACAGAATTTTGGGGATAGGATCTCAAGAAGCTTAGACTGTGTAGTTGAGGCTGTCTTCTGGAATTCCTGATGCTCCTACCTCTACCTCCCTAGTGCTGGGACTTCAGGCATGTGCTACCACACCTGTAATATTTCTTAAAAAAGAAAACTGCCTGATCATCATGCCAGGTTTATTGCAAATGTGTAAAAGGGACATCAGCTGCATACTAGTAAGAGTGTGTCTGTCAGAAACCTATGAGACTAGTGATAGAGCCTGGCCTTTGGCTTTACATATACTCAGGTTAAAATTCCACTCCTTGTTTTAGGGTGAGGCTGGACAACTCACTCTGAGTGTCTCTTCTGGAATCAATCCTTCTTGAATATTGGTAATACCATGTGAGATGACCCATATAAAACACATACTTCCCAGTAAGCACTCAAAAGACAAAGCCATTACAACCAGCAAGCTAGGGGCTGAGAGGAAGATGGCAACCCTCATGCTTCCTTGTGCAGTATAGTCACTACGACCCAAGTAGAAAAATCCTAAGGAGCTTTTATTAATCATTTGACCTATGCCCAGTGAAAATTTGGACACCTTTTTCCGTTCGGGCCTGCGCCTGGCTGCAGTTTGTCCAAAGTTTTCATAAACAGACTATAGGATCTCTGACACAGACCCTTAGTCACCTGTAGACGCCCTCAAGCCTCAGAACTACTGGTGCTGGAGAGTGAACCAGTGGCCTCATTCGTACATGTTGAGCCCTCGCTGGAGTGTTGCGCTGTAACACTCCAGACTTGGATTAGAAAGGACAAATGAGTACGGATGCGGTTTTGGATGCAGCTTTCCAGAGGAGGGCTGGAAGGAAAACGGAATGGGCAATCTCTTCTGTCTCTAGCGATCACTTATCTCTAGATGAAGCGCGAGAGGCTCGGGTGCTGGGAGCTTTTGGAGGAGAGCCGAGCGGGAAACCGACCCCTCGGTGCAAGCCACTTCTGACACTGAGCCCAAGGAGAGCCCCTGGAGTCTTGCAGCACACACCGCAGACTTCAAAATAAAACTAACCACCACCAGAGGCGCCCCCCGCCAGCGTGCTTGCGTCGTGCGTGCGTGCGTGCGCGCGCACAGACTGCTGGGATGCCGCCGCTTCCCTCTCGACCTCCCAGTTTCCCGGCGTGCCTCGGGCCCGCCAAATGGGAGGGGGAGACGCAAGATGGCGGCAGCCGCGAACTCCGGCTCCAGCCTCCCGCTGTTCGACTGCCCGACCTGGTGAGTGGCGGGGCTGCTGGGGCTGGCACGGCCTGGCGTGGGCTAACCGGGGCGAGGAGGGAGGCTGGGTTTTTTTCTTACTTTCTTTCTTTTTTGAGACGAAACGGGCGGCTCCAAAAGAGCCTGGAATGATTGAGGGAAAACTGTCCGCTGTGAGGGGCCGGGCGGCGTGCGGAGGAACAGGGGCCCAGGCTGCGAGGAAACCCGAGGTTTGGGGGCTCGAAGGTGTTCACTTTAGGCAGCCCCTGGCTGGTCAGCCGCTCGCAGAGGTGCCTGAGGCCTTGGCCCCTAACTTGCTCCAACTCCTCATTGAGTGTCTGGTGCTCCCAGGGAGCATCCCACCTGCCCCCGGTGTTGAACGTCCCGGGCGCGCACGAGCTGGCGTCCCCAGCCCAGCCCAGCCTGGTGCTGCATCCCTCCGTGGCTGCTGCATCCTCCGAGCGGTGCTTACCCTTCTCCCGCGGACGGGGGGCTCCTCGAGGGCAGGGATGGCGCGGAACTATTCCCCTTGTTCTCTGTGACCAGACCAGCTCGTAGCCCGGTACAAAAGACACCAGAAGTTGTTAGAATACATCATTTTCATCCCTTGGGAAGTTCCTAGGAGTAGGAAGGTGATTGAAGCCTTGAGTAGGGTACAGGATGAATAAATGCGCGTTGCTTTGCACGAGGATGCATCCGAGTTAGCCCCTTTCTGCTTTTGCGGCTCCTCACGGTTGTTAACATGTTACTTCTCGGTCTTCTGTTACATTGAGACCTTCAAGGGCAAAAAAAACCCATGCATCATTTCCAGCTCCTAGGCCCGAGTCACGCACATGATAGGATGTTCAGAAAATATATTTTGGTCTTAATGTTCATTTTTAACCTGTTTCTCGAACAAAATGGGCTTTTGTCCAATGCACTGTCCTTTTAGCTAGTGCCATAAAATGTTGGAGCAGAACCGTGAGATGACTGTGTTGAATCTTCAATTAGATAGACTGCAAATGTAAGGGCCCTGGAAGGTCTAAATGAGCAAACCCAGGAAGCAAATGAATGTTTGGCTGTTTTCTGTATTTCTTTATACTTCTAAAAAAAAATATCCATTTGCTTCAGCCTACAAATTCTTTATCCACACTGGTCCCTGCACCGATTTCAAATTTGGGCCAGCCAAATATAAAGAGACTCTTTGAGATCACCTGTCATTAAATGTCAGGTGACTTGATATGCACACATCCCCCTTGAATGATAAAGCAAAGTACAGAGAAAAGTTCAACGAATTGTGGGTGTTTTTTTGTTTGTTTGTTTGTTTGTTTTGTTTTGTTTTGTTTTTTGCAGAAAGACCTGTTCAGGGTACTTGGTTTCATGGGCATGATTTTGATTTGCCCTAGTTCCCTAATTACACATCTCTGATTTGGTCAGAAGAGTTCATCTGGGTAATAGTTTCTGATTATTTTGTGATGAGACACATATCGATCAGTCCCCAAACAACTAAGATTTGTTTATTTGTTTTGGGGCAAGATCTGCATATGTAATCCTGCCTGGTCTGAAACTTGCTGTGTAAACTAGGATGGCCTTGAAGTTGGAGTGATCCCTCTGATGGAAATTCAGATGTGTGATCCTGTGCACAGCAAAACTGGTTTATTCTGTCCTTATATCAGGAGTAGTAAATCTTAGATTAAAACCCCTGGTTAAACCAGGCATGGTGGCATACACCTGTAATCTCAGCACAGAGAAGGTGGAGGTAGGAGGCTCAGATGTTCAAGGTCATCCTCAGATACAAACCCACTAGGGATTAAGGCTAGCCTGGGATGCATGAGACTGTGTCTCAAAAAACAAGCAAAGAGAACAAACCTCTCCAGGTGACAAGACATGCTTATACACTGAACTCTTTTCTCTCTGAAGTGTTAAAATGCAGGGGTTTTTATTTATTTAATTTGACTGCTCTAAATACAGATCTGCCAAGATCTCCTCTAGAACAGTTGACTCACTTGGGAAGAAAGTGTCAAAGGTAGAAAAGCTCTAACAGTGAAGGACGTGACATTTCTCTTTGAACTAATGATAGGCTGGCAGGAGAGCCCCGATGTCGAATGGGATAGAGGTTGTAAAAGACATTTATGGACTCCTCCTGAAAAACCTTTTTTTCTGCTCTTTTCCAGGGCAGGTAAACCCCCACCTGGCTTACATCTGGATGTAGTGAAAGGAGACAAACTAATCGAGGTATTGAAATGCACCCCATTCTAAAGGGTTTTCTTAGCGACTCTCCTCTGCTCTGTTTTCAGCCATGTTATTTTTCTTCTTTGTTTTTGTTTGTTTTGTTTGTTTGTTTGTCTATTTTTTTTTTTTTTTTTTTTTTTT